CACACACACACACACACACACACACACACACACACACCGGTCTTACTGCACTTAAAAACGCCAGAGGACAAATTGCCGTTCATCTAAATTCGGAATTGCGATAATATCCCAGCGCAAAATGCGGATTAGGCGACTTGCGCGAGCGAAATTTGCTCCCGTTATAATTGCCTCAATGGCTTCATTGAATGTTGGCTCTGTCGAGTAACGCCCCAGCGTAGTGAGCGGGATCGCGTACGTGGCTCGATTCTTTGTGACACCAAGACATCTGCAGCATGGTCAGTGGGAGTGATCTGGACAACTAACCAAGGATATACTCAACGTCGGAAATACGCTTTTCGTTCATAGCCGTAGAATCGTACAGCCGTCATCTGCCATATGACGGGTCATCTGCTGACTTATCATCAAGCACCACGTGATGAGATATGAACCCGGGGTGGACGAATACGGAATGTCGACGAGATGTGATTAAAACGCACGAAAATCAGACCTGCGCGGAAGAATCTACGCAGAACCGCATCACCGTCTCTAGTAATAGCGTGTATACATACGAGTAATGCAGAAGACCATGGAAGAGTTATCTACAGGATATATCTTATTACCTTAGTATATTTACCTATTACCATATTACTATTATATAGAGCATGCTTGAAATAATTTGCTCGCAGATTGGTAGGTATCTGAGACAGACCAACACTGTTCAATATCATCCATTCGTATATGGAGAATCATTGAATCAACAATTAGTGCCCCACAGTATGCTCTAATTTAAAATTATTCAGTTAATGTTGGTACGGATCATCGAGAAGTAGGTCAACTATGTAGCTTATACATTTTTGTCAAGTAAAAAAAAAATTCGATACTCCCTGTAGGATGTGTATAGATACTAATGTTAGGTCACGTATATCATGCTGGTTAATATAAAGCAGGACGAAAATAGCTGAAGGTTTGAAATCGCAAAAATTAAAGTTAATATAACGGTTCATCAGAGATCGCGGGTTTTACGGTTTGGAAATGTCTACAGTTAATGAAATCATCGCATGTCAGTCTCACGTTTATAATTATTGAGTTCTTTTTATACTAAAGTTCACTTTTTGAGTTTGTCTCAAAATTCAACATTATCAAGATTTTCTATGGGGTTAAACGGAAGGAAGTATGTGAAGATATTTCTAAAGAAGGTTTTGCGGTGAGCCCCTAGCAGATAGGCGCGTCTAGACATAAGAGCTGGCCACGCTGTGATAAATCCATTGCTATGCAGATATGGCGTTCGAATAAACACAAAGGCTCTTCACGATATAAACTGCTATCGAGCGGAAAACGATATCATGGTTGTCAGTAAATTTGAATTTAAATTGAATACATACCACAACACGTAATTGGGACATTGTCCGTTATTTATTTCCGTGAGGCGCAACGGCACTACGCGCAAGTTTATTCAAAAGATGCAGAATACGATTAACAAGATTAGGAAAATCGCCTGTCATGCATGAAGGTGGTGAAAGATGGTGCCTTATATCCCGCAGACATCAGAAGAATGGAGACAAGTTCGTTACATATTGCAGCAATCGCTCGAGTGGCTGCAGAATAGATTACGACATTATAACGCTTGCACAACAAATGTTGCAATTAGCGTAACAACACGTGGGTTGCAGAATGGAACCTTTCAAAGAAACTAAACCAAATGAATGAATATAGCGGAATCTGATGTATATGCCGGTAAATTCAATGAAAGTTTGTCTTCTCTTTCACCTCCTCATCGTCCTCTCGCTATCCCTCTTCTTTCTCGGTCTTTGTCTCTGTCCCGTTGTGTCTCTCGCGTCCCGTCTCTTCTTTCTCTCTCTCCTCTCTCTCTCCAGCTTCTCTCTCGTCTTTCTTCTCTCTCCGACCTGCGTCTTTTTCTCATCGTCCTTCTCTCTCTCTCTCTCATCTCTCTTCTCGTCTCTCGCTCTCTCGCTCTCCTCCTCTTTCCTCTCTCTCTGTCTCTCTCCTCTCCTCTCTCTCGTCGTATTCTTCCTCTCTCTCTCTCCTCGGCATCTCTCTCATTGCCACCAGGCGCGCGGCGTAACGTGCGAGTGATCTTTGTATCTGTACGTTCGGAAAGGAAGCAGCAGAAATGAAGGAACTTGGACATGTACCCCGCGATGAAACGATTTGGCACGTTGAATCTCGTCTAGACATTGTTCGTAAGAGTTGATGCCAGTTGCATGGAAGCAATGGAAAAGGTGGGTCGGTTGTTTCGACGCTACGTTAGTTCACGACGTACGACACTTAGAACTTTGTATAAATTTTAGTAAAAACTAGTTTGTAAATTTAGCTTACTTAGGCTCCACGGGTGTCCCCGTGAACGTTGACCTGCCGGAGGCACTCTGGATCCGAGCAGTTCATCGACCGGGTGAGCAACACTAGTAGGCTGGGCATACGCACGAAAAACATAGGCATCGGCCATTTCTGATAGGATGTCGTTTAGTACTTGCGTGAGACGCGAATAAGGTTGAAGAAAGGTTAGATACGATGGATACGCCACTTTCGTACTCAAATGTTATTTTATGCCTGCGAACAAGTAACGCTAGCCTACAGTGCGTTTTTCTGGAAACCCCAGGCCGCCGACCGCTTTCACTATCCTCACAGCCCGCATTCATGTAATGCGCACGCGCGCTGCTGGAGTTATAATCGACTTTCGCAGGCGGCTTTGAACGATTGGAGCACAAACGCTACACTATAATAAACCAGCCTAGGTTATACTAACTACTACGGCGCGACGCGTCCTGCTGTGAAGACCGGGGGCACGCATTCGTCTTGTCCGCATCTTAAAGCCGGACTCCACGCCTAGCTGCGCTGATAGACTGGAGTCACCGGGGCTGCTGCGGGACTTGCTGGGACATAAAGCGAGACTAGGTTTGTGATTATCAACCAAGTTGTTATACGGAGCTGGATGTTGTAGCCGTGACTGCATGCGGAACGTAAACTGCTTCCAGTTCATTAATGCGCTCGTACCCGACCGTCAGGCAATCTGCCGTACCAAGCACCCACGCTCTCAGCCGATTATGCTATCGATAAGCGCGGAGCTTCATCGGCAACATATATCCTCAACGTTCGCGATGACTTCTCCTGCGTGTCGCTCATATCAAGCGGCGTATGGCGCCGCGTCAGCACGCAATTTCGCGGCCGCAAGTCAATTTATAAAATAATTATAGTATATTTTAAACTACATACTACGGTAAAACACCTACAATCGAGACCGATCGCATATATATGCAAAATCGTATATCGAACATCAACATTCCTAACGCCATATTCCTTATATATAGTGTGATTGCGTCGTGCGTAAACGAAAATTCGAGTCAATCATTTAAAACTAGAAAAACGTTTCTTGTAATCTTGTTTGTATATATGTGTCTATTCGCTACATAATCTGCGATCTTATATTCCGTATATATTTACGGATAAGGTTCTGTACATTTCGTGAGCCAATATATGAATGAAGCAATAACGCGATCATAATTCAATCTTTATTAATTACCTACACAATAATTTTGTTTATTTAATTTAATTATAATTGTTTATATATATATAATAATTTGTGCGTGTGGGGTTGGTTGGCGTGCCGTCGCGTTGCCGTGCGGCGTGCAGCGTCGTGTGTATGTGTGTGTAGGTGTGTGTATGGTGTGTGGGGGGGAGGTCACTGATCTATCCGCTATGTTAGCGGAGCATGCGGGAGGCGTGTCTTTCACGCATAGCCTAGCAAGAAAATGGGCGAATTTGCCCAGAGTTTAGAGAGCACCGCTCGCTTAGCTGTGCTGTAATAATGCGCCCTGCGGCAGGATACGCTGCATTCACGCGATATAACTG